CCTGGTGTGGCGCTGTGTGCTGTTGCGTCAGACTGCAAAGTCTTTTGAACTGCAAGGTCAGTGGTTCAAGCTCACCAGCTACTCCTTGGAAACCCTATACAGGGTCGCTATGGGTTGGAATCAATTTGATGGCACTTAATAACAACAACAGCATATGCTAAAGAGGAGTCCTGGTGTGGCACTGCAGGTAAAGTTGCTGGACCACAAGGTCAGTTTGAACCTTCTATGCTTGGAAACCTTTTACAGGGTCACTATGGGTCACTATGGGTCAGGACCAACTCAATGGCACTTAATGCTAAAAAGGGAAGGAAAGTGCAGCGCCTCTGTAAGATATGCACTGAACTACGAACCACAAGGTTGCCAGTTTGAGCCCACCAGCTGCTTCGTGGATAAAATGAGGCTTTCTACTCCCTCAGAAACCCTATATATGGTCACAGTGAGTCAGAACTGACTGGCTGGAACTTAACAACAACATATACTAAAGAAAGAAGTCAGGATGTTGCTGTAGGACAAGCACTGGACTGCTAATTGTAAGGTCAGCAGTTGAAGTCCATCAGCCGCTCCTCAGGAGAAAGGTGAGAGTATCTGCTCCCATAAAGATTTACAGCCTTAGAAATCCTACATGGGGTTACCATGAGACAGAGTCGACTCAATGAAGCAGTAGGTTTGGTTTTCCATAGAAAGAAAAACAGTAGCATGATATTTTTTTTCAACAGATAGATTTTCCAGTTGGTTCATTATCTAATGTTTTATTTCTACCAAAATATATTCCTAAGGAAAACAATCATTTTGATAGAAATGTTCTGAAATACTAAAAATGTAAAAAACTATTTTCCTTGGAAATATTCCAACATTTGATACTAAAAACCCAGGAGAAATAAACACTGATGGCTTGAGGGAACTTTCACTGGAAACTACATAAGAAATGATCAACTGAGAGAAAACAAAACACTTTTGTCCTTTGTTGAATTATATGGTTGCTTTGTGTTTTTATTGTAGGATAAGTGCTCGGCCACAAGGTCGAATTGAATCACCAGGTCAGCAGTTCAACCTCTCCAGCCTCTCCTCAGAAACCCTACACATGGTCGCTATCACTTAGAACCAACTCGACAGCGCTTAGTAACAACCGCAAAGCTATCATAGGGCAAAATTATAAGTTAAAATACTAAACTATTTAAAATATGCTATTCTTCCCCAGTCTGAATGATTTGCCTGAAAAATGAAACTAATATTTGTTCATCTCTTTTCATACCCTTAAGAAATAAACCATACTAAACATTATATAACAACATTTTCTTTAAATGCTGTCTTGGGGCAATGGTTGGAGGCCAGGCTGCTCCCCGCTTGGAAAACCTGATTAAGTCTACTTTCCAGCCACTCCCCTATCAGACTCTCACACTCTAAGTCACTAAGCACCCATCCTGATCACCCTACACCAGGTACTCATTAACTAGGTACAACCCAATGATTCCAAATGTCCCAATCAATGGAGACCCACAAAACCAAGATACCTTGTTGTTTGTTACCTTCTCCCCTAAATGTCACTCTATGGCCTTGAGTTATGGGTGCAGGAACTCCCACTCTCTGGGACCTATTTGTTTCTGGCCTTTCCATGTTAGTCTCACTTCCTTGTGTCACATCTGACAGACCACCCAAGAAGGTCACAGCTCCTTTTGGATCATACAAAACACACATAAAGCCTTGGGCATTTTGTTGTCAGAACTTAAAACACACAATGGTGCAGTCAAATGCAAAGACTACCAAGCTGGGAGTTACAAAAGCTAGCTCTACCACTTAATTCCTACACAATTTTGGGCAAATTACTTTTACTCTGCTCTGTTTCATCTTCTGAAAAGAAAGATAATACATAAACATGTTCACAGGCTTTAAAAAGGTTAGAGATATCACACATAAAGCCCTTTGCATAGTACCTAGCAGTTAGCAGGCATTTAGTGTAGTGGTTATGGAATCGGGCTGCGAACCCCAAGGTCAGCAGTTCGAAACTACCAGCTGATCCGCGGGAGAAAGATGAGGCATCTTTCTGCTCCCATAAATATTTACAGCCTCAAAACCTTGTACAGGGTCGCTATGAGTCAGACCCGACTCCGTGGCACTTAACAACAACAACAATTTTTGCTGTTGTGGAGTTCTGGTGTGGCACTGTGGGTTAATGCGCTGGGTTGCAAAGTCGGTTTGAACTGCAAAGTCTGCGGTTCAAGCTCAGCAGCCACTCCTCCGAAACCTTATACAGGGTCACTATGGATCGGACAGCATTTAACAACAAACAATTGCAGTTGTTGTGTGCTATAGAGTCGGTTCCGAATCAGACCACGAATAGGGTTTCCAAGGCTATAAATCTTTACTGCAGGAGAAAACTTCACCTTTACCTACAGAGCAGCAGGTGCGTTCAGATCGCTAACCTTTCAATTAGCGGTCCAACACTTAACCACCACTGTGGATCCAGGGCTGTAATTGTAAATGTTTCTTAATAAGTTAGAATTTAGTATGTTACTTTACTGACACTTATCAATTAAAGATTGTTCTTCAGCACTGCTAAATAAATGTCAATTATTAGCTGCTATAGAGCATGAAGTCTGGAAAGTTTTTGCCTGTGAACAACTCCAGCCTTGTTTGTTGTTGTTGTTAAGTGCTGTCAAGTCGGTTCCAACCTATCGTGACCCTATATAGGGTTTCCAAGGAGCGACTGGAGTTTGAGCCACAGACTTTGTGGTTCAAACTGACTTTGCAGTCCAGCACATTAATCCATAGCGCCACACCAGGACTTCAATTTCAGTCTAGCAGAATTTAATTCCATCTCGTGCCTATTTTTAAGTGTTCACTCCTTTTAAGTGGAGTTCTGGTGTGGCGCTGTGGATTAATGCGCTGGACTGCAAACTCGGTTTGAACCACAAGGTCAGTGGTTCGAGTTCACCAACTATTCTTCAGAAACGCTATACAGTGTTGCTAAGGGTTGGAACGGAACCGACTCGATGGCACTTTAACAACGACAACAACAACTTTTAAGTGTTCAGATGCCACTTTACCTTGAGTAGTTCATGCACCTCTGACAGCTTAATTACAAGAGTCAGAAATAGAGTATATTTTAAAGTGGGGTTGGGGCCACTTCCTTCATTGAATATTCCTGGACACATCCTTTAGTGGTCACCTAGTTGTGATGTCATACCCTGAGAGCCTCAGAGACTGCAAACGTTCCTATCTGAAAGAGTCTCCTCCCAGCCTTCCACAGGCCAGCATGCGTGTGGCTGCAGCGGGTTGTGGAAAGAGAGTCCTTTGTTCTCTGTGCCCTATAAAAGGTCACCCTATGGAGACAGAACTTTGGAAACTCATTCATGGTGTCTATGATTTCCCTCACCCAGATGATCTGTTTGTCTTTGTCTTGTGTTTACGTCTGTAAAAGAGTCTATCGAATATTTATAACTTTGAAGATGGGGTCTCTTTTCTCCCCTATAATATTATACACAGAGAAGCAATGTTTTCTCTATGATGATCTACTGAATATCTGAATTTAGTATCTTAGTAAACACATGCATTTAATATTCACAAACTGGTAAGACAAGATAAAGCATAAATAAATTTTACAAGTGAACTGCATTTCTAGTTCTTTTGAATAATTAATTGTCTTATTCCATTACTTTGGACAGAGTGACAGGAGGGACCAGTCACTGGAGAAGGATATCATGTTTGGTAAGGTGGAGGGTCAGAGAAAAAGAGGAAGATGCAGCGAGATGGATTGGCAAAGTGGCAGCATCAATGGGCTCAATTGTGAGGTTGGTCCAGGACCAGGCAGCGTTTTGTTCTGTTGTACACAGGGTCGCTATGAGTCGGTACCGACTCGATGGCACCTAACAACAACAACAACAGTATTTATATCTTTGAAGATGAGTTCTCTTTTCTCCCTTAGATCACAGCTAAGTTTTATACATAATATGATACACAGGGAAGGAGTGTTTTCTCTACAATGATCTACTGAATACCTGAATTTAGTATTTCAATAAACACGTGCATTTAATGTTCACAAACTGGTAAGACAAGATAAAGATAAATAAATGTATGCAAATTTTACACGAGTACTGCATTTCTGGTTCTTTTGAAGAATATTTTTATCCCGTTACTTCCATTCCTAAGTATTTTCTGGGTTTCATTTTGTCTCAAAAATCTGACTTATTTAGTTCTACTTTCTCTAAGCCCTTTCCCTAGTTCTCCCAGATCCCTACTAAGTGTAAGAGGAGGCTTCAAAAAGTTTGTGGAAGGTTCCTGTACGTATGCTTGTGTCTGCTCCTTTTGCCCCCCACCAAAAAATGAAAGAAAGAAAAAACAAAGTTCGTGGAAGAATTCCATTTTTCCATGAACTTTTTGAAGCCCCCTCACATCTATCTGGTAAAGGAGCTCTGGTAGTGTAGTGGGTTACGCACAAGGTTAGTGGTTCAAGTACACCAAACACTCCAAGAGAGAAAGATGAGGCTTCCTGCTCCTGTAAAGATTTACAGCTTCGGAAACCCCATAGAGGGTCACCATGAGTTCGAATCACGTCTATGTCGGACCACCACCACCACCACCACCACAGTATTTGGTATAATTTAAATATGATTTCACTCATCCCTGTAAATCTAAACTGTTTACATTTCTACTATATATAATATACATAGTTTGATAGTTTTTCCTATCAACTCATTATCAAAACTTAAAGAGGAACCAATGCACGAGGGTTGCAATATGGCTTCGGGCGCAATACACAAAAGCCTTCTAAAAGGACGCTCAAACCTAGATTCTCCTATTCCACTCTCTCCACCCTGATTCACCCAAATACTCTGTCCTCTTGGACCTGAATCTTGTTGAAATTAGAGAGAATTCCATTCATGATCTTTCACTGAATTAATCTCTAAAATGAACGATACACGTCATCAATTAATGTATTTACCAATCTCTATATGAAAAATTTCTGCTATTTCCTATTTTGTATAATCCTATCGGATACATACCTATGTCATATGCCAGGAAATCGGCAGAAAAACATTTTGCACCGTTACTCAAAGAAGTGTCATTATGCGTGTTTCCTCCAAAAATAAGCATAGCTCCATTGATAAGAACAGCTGAATGAAGGTATCTGGCAAACCCACTTTCTTTCAAAATAGTCCTACAGAATAAAATTTGAAAATGTATTACACAGGATAAAAAGACCTCCCTGGTTATATATATTAAATAAAGGATCTAACTTCCAAGTAGGCTTTTCCCTGGAGTTGTGAAAAAAAAAAAACATGCTTTATTTATTTTATTCAACAACTCATAAATATCTTTACACTGCAATATTTTAATTTAATTTTGAAAGTCATGGTCTCTTAAAATGCTTTGAGGAAACATAATATGAAATAGAACTGCTTGTACTCATAATAACATATATTTTGAATTTATTATTTTTCCATTTATACATGTAGAAAACAAGACTCCTTAAAAATAGAAAACATAAACACCTTCATTTTTAAATAACAATCTAAATAATGAGTTAGATATAATAAATTTATATCTACAGTTAGGTAAAACTACAAATCTCATACTAGACCCCAGAATATACGTTTTCATTTTTTATTTAAGTACTGGCATTCCCCAGATTCAGAACATCCGAGTGAAGGACAACTGGTACTTGCCCTTTAAAGCAAATTTGTCCTAAGTTTGAAACTGGGGAACCCACCTCTATTAAAAATTCTTCATCCCAATCACCTTCCTTCCTTCAGGTGCAGCTTGTAAATCATGGAAGAAGCATCAAGCCTCTAAATAAATAAATAAATCCATATGCACCTGGTTCGACTTACCTACAAAGTCTTAAAGACACGGTTAGGAACAGATTATTATAACCCGGGACCAGAAACGTAAGCACAGCATAAGCCTAAGAATCAATGAATGTTCATCAAATGGAACACTAAGTAACCAACATCCAGTTTGAAAGAAGAGAGGAAGAATATTACTGCTATTCTGATTCTAACCACTTACGATTCATTTTGATATTTTTGCTAAATAAATGAAATTATATAGTTTGTAGTCATGAGTATAAGCCTTCTTTTGTTCACACTGTGAGGCTCATCTATAATGATGTGTAGTTGAAAATCCCATGCATTTTAAGGAAACATTAAAATTAATAGTAATGCTCTTTTTTAAAATTAGGCAGTTACTCTGAGAGATGTGGTTTAGAACCACATCTAACCAGATAAAAGGGTATGTGACTAAGATTCATGGCAATATGAATCAATACTTTGTAAGTACTCTAAATAAATCCCTCATGCAAACAAAGGTTTGGAACATGAGCATGTATAATTAGTACATATGTTGTTGTTGTTAAGTGCCATTGAGTTGGCTCCAACCCACAGCGACCCTGTGTAGGGTTTCCGAGGAGCAGTTGGTGAGTTTGAACCGCTGACTGTGCAATTCAAACTAACTTTTTAGTCCAGCACATTTACCCACAGTGCCACACCAGGACTCCAAATCCACTTTAGGTCTCAGAAAACTGTACTAAAGGCAATAGCAAATAAAGAACATTTACTCAAGAAAATCTACAAAATCTTTATAATAACATCAAGAGTCCCTGACATCTGACACCATGACCTGCTCCTCTTCTCCTAGTTCTTCCCCAAGTGAACACTTTTCTCTTAGTCATCCACCCAGTGCCCAGTGCAAGGCAACAATATTTCACCCAAGGAATCAGGATGCCAGAATTTCTCATGACCCCCCAATAGGTAAGTTGCTAAAGTTTTATTTTAAAAAAAGTAAAAGAAAAAAAGAGGCTAACAGACCTGAGATCTCATCCTCCATCCAACTTCCATCATAGGATTGAAGCTAATGATGCAAGCTAAGTGCACTGGGACCCTGTTCACCCTTACCCCAACTCACTCATAGGGCAAGGAAGGAGGTAAGCTGAAAAGACATGAGACTCTTGCCCCCATTCAGCACCATGAATATAAAGCAGAGTTGTCACCTCCAACTCTGAAGCACAGCAAGAGGCTGTGAGAGAGCCCTACAGCTCGATCCTGGGAACAGACATTATTTGGACAGAGTGTGGGATAGTTCAAACCTAAGGGAACTCTCAAAGACAGTGGAGATTTTTTATACTGAGCTATTAAGACAGGACACAAAGCTCTATGAGAACAATAAGCTAAACTACAACCTACTAGATTACTCAAGGATTTGTACCACTTCAAACCGGTTCAGTCATGACCCACCATAGCAACCAAATCTCTTGTATAGTGGGTTTCTACAGAGTAAGAAACAGGAAGCTGTGTTCTACTAAAAGATGACAGCTGACCATGTGACTTTGAATGTGCGTCAACCACCATCTCCGAATAGGGCTTCACTTTCTGATTTCTACTCAGGTCAACATCTGCCACACAAGACACAGTTGCTAAGCACTGTGTACACTGCCCTTGTTGCCATTGGTCATGACTGAGCTTCTATGAACTGGTTTGAAGTCCTAACTGGTTACCACAGAAGACAACAGAGGGGTAGGGCGACTGGAATGAGAAGAGCCCCCTGCGGTCAGAACAAACTTGAAAGACCAGCCTCACAGACTGCCATTGAAAACAGGTTCAAATGGAGCTGTTAATAACCCAGGGCTTTAGTGAAAACAATAGAGCAGAAAATTAATCCTAAGTAAAGACTAAAATCCTGGTGGCACAGCGGTTAAAGTGCCATGCCCCACCAGATGCTCTGAGGCAGAAAGATGCAGCAGTCTGCGCCCAAAAACCTACTGTGGGGATTGCTATTCTGTCCTATAGGGTCACGACATGTTGGAACCAATTCAACTTCAATGGTTTTGGTTTGGGGTTTTTAAGTGGAGGCTAACAGCTAAGTTGGTACTAGCAAAGAGCCAGAGAGCTTAACGGAGAGGTTAGATGAGATATTTAAAGAAGGCCCTTTTAAAATTACTGCAACTCCAGGTGACTTCGTGCATCCCCAGACCACACCCTCTGAGGAGCTACGCAGTGAATACATACTGAAGGGGAAACAGACTTAACTCAATGAGTCCACCAACTCATAAACAAATAAATAAGGAAACAAACAACAAAGTCCAGGAAGGGAAGAGAAACCAGTATCCTAGAGATGCTACTATATACATTTTTTAATGTACAGTCATCAAGAAACAGTTACAGCATGGATGGAAATAGGAAAGTACAACCCATACACAGACAAAAGAATCTGCTTTTGAGCGGGTACAGGTGTCAAACACAGCAGACAAACACGTTTCAGCAATTGTGCCAATCTCTGTCATTAAGGGTTTCACTCATTTTCGCTGACTCTCTACTCAGCCAAATATTGTTCTAATCCCTTGTCTTTCTTGAGTATGTGTCCAAAGTAAGTGTTAGGCTCATTACTATCCTCACTTCTGAGGAGCATTCCAGTAGTATGTCTTCTAAGACTCATATGTCCATTGTTTTGGACACCCATCGTATGTTCTATAATCTTTACCAACACTAAAATTTGAACGTAGCCATTCTTCGTTTTTCACTGTCTAGTTGTCATGTGCATAAGGAAGCAACTGAAAACACCAATGGCTTGAGTCAGATGCACCCGAATCACCAAAGTGACATCTTTGTTTCTTTAAAACGTCAATGAAGTCTTTGCAGCAGATTTGCCTAAAGCTACCTGTTGTTTGATTTCTTGAGGGCTATTACTATGGATGTTGATTACTGATCTAAGTAGAATGAAATCCTTGACTATTTCAATCTCTTCTTCACCGACTGTGATGTTCTCTACATGTCCAGTTGTGAGGATTTGTTTCCCTTTGCATACGGAAGGCTGTAGTCTTTCATGGTCATCAGTAAGTGTTTCAAGGTATCTTCATTTTTGGAAAGCAAAGTTATATGGTCTGCATATTACAGGTGTCAATGAATTTTCCTCCATACAGGATGCCACATTCTTTTCAAATAGTTCAACTTCTTAGATTATTTGTTCAGCAAACAGATTGAATAAATTGAAAGGATACAACCATGCCAAACACCTTTTTCATTTTTGAACCACTCTGTATCTCCTTGTTTATTAAAATACTGCCTCTTCAGCATGTATAAGTAGCAATTTTTCAAAATATTATCCATAATTTGGAAGCACGGACTGCCAACCACACAGTCCGTGATTCAAGCCCGTCAGTCACTCTACAGGAGAAAGATGAGACTTTCTTCTCCCTTGAAGATTTAAAGCCTTAAAAACCCTATGAAGGGTCACTATGACTCGGAACTGACTCGACGACACTTAACAACAGCTATCAATGATTTGTCATAATCCACACCGTTGAATACTTTCATATAGTTGATAAGACACAAGTAATCATTATTCTAGCACTCTATTTTTTGGCCAAAATCCATTTGACATAAGCAGTGTGACACATCCTCTTCTTGAATCTTGCTTCAACATCTGGCAGTTTGCTGTTGATATACAATTGCAGTTGTTTTATACTTACCTTCAGCAAAATTTTGGTAGTATCTGATATTTATGATGTTATTCAATGGGTTTCACATTCCATCTAGCTGTCTTTCTTTGAAATGGCAGAGATATAGATCCATCTCTAGCCAACTGGCCAGAAAGAAGGCTTCCAAGCTTCTTGATACAGACAGATGAGTGTTTCCAGGGTTGCATCCACTTGTTGAAGCATCTCAGTTGGTATTCCATCAGTTCCTGGAGACTTGCTTTTTGTTTTTTTGGCCAACACCTTCGGTTCTTGATTACAAGCTACCTCTTAAGATGGTTGAACATCAACTTTTTTGTTGTTGTTGTTACAGTGACTCTGTACATTTCCTTTTATCTTCTTTGCTTCCTACATCATTCAATTTCCTGTGAATAAAATTCAATATTGCAACTTGAGGCTTGAATTTTCAGTTTTCTCAGACAGAGAAATGATGGCTACGTTCTTCCTTTTTGGTGTTCTAATTCTAGGACTTTGCACATTTCATTGTAATACTTTACTTTGTCTTTTCAAGCCACCCTTTGTAGTGTTCTGTTCAGTTCTTTTACTTCATAATTTCTCCCATGCATTTTAGGTACTCTGTACTTAAGAGCAAATTTCATCATTTCTTCTGATATCCATTTTATTTTCTTGGCCTTCCTTCCTTCCTTCCTTTCTTCTTTCCTTCCTCTCTCCCTCCCTCCCTCCTTCCT